AAATTGTTTTTCTAAAATGTAAATTTGTTTCGGCTATGGTAAAATCGTCGCTGCACTTCATGTCCCCCGTATATATTGGCTAAATTTGAACAAACAAATTAAGTTAAACATTACTATGTTTCATTCCTTTGTTTAAATTTAGCCCAAAAAATAGTCTGCAACCATTTACCTTTAAAAAATCCCAGAAGGAACTGTTTTACTACAAAACCACAGAGATATATTAAGATATATTGGGCTGTGTGTTTGGCAAGTTTACCCAGAATACAGAAGATGATGACAAAACTCATGCGAAAACTGTCCACATCAGCCTTTTCTGTGTTGTTTTGTCGCTCTCACTTCCCTCACAACCTTTTTGCTCATCTTTCCTGCAAAACACAACAGATCGTGATGAGAGGAGGGACGTGCTGTAATTGCTTGCAGACAGACTACGAGATTAGTGTCCTTTCAATATCTCACCATCGCACAGCCAGACATATATTTAATTGTGACAGATTTTTTTTTGGACATCTCTTCCCCTAAACTCTCCCTAGTTGCGGTGCAATTGGATCTTTCCAATAAGGCAATCAGCATCAGGCTTGGGATTTGGCACGGACTCTAAAAAGATACCAGAGAAAACCTCAGAAGCCAACTCATTTTCCTGACTGTCCTCTGTTCGTCCCATGCCGAGGGCCAGAAACATTTATAATGATCACAGATGCATCTTATTTGCTGTCAAACTTGGCTGCAGAAATATTAATAGACAGACACACAATGAATTACCTTAATCCTCCTCATGGCTGTCTGCGTAGCTGCTTTCTACTCAGACTTTTTTTTCTGTCATTCACTGTAAACAAATGCTTGGTTCACACAATTCCATTATGTTGTACCAACACAAGTTCATTCATTCATATTCTTGTCGGCTTAGTCCCTTTATTAATCCGGGGTCACCACAGTGGAATGAACCGCCAACTCACCCAGCAAGTTTTTACGCAGCTCATACACTACGAACAATTTAGCCTACCCAATTCACCTGTTCCGCATGTCTTTGGACTGTTGGGGAAACCAGAGCACCCGGAGGTGCTCCACATGAGGTGCTCTGAGAACATGCAAGGGAGAACATGCAAACTCCACACAGAAACGCCAACTGAGCTGAGGCTCGAACCAGCGACCCAGCGACCTTCTTGCTGTGGGGCAACAGTGCTACCTACTGCGCCACTGCGTCGCCCATCATGAGTTCAGTATCGAGATATTACGATGTAATGCATGACCTCTAATAAAGACATGCATAAACCTAAAAACACTCAGTACATGTTTAGCTGAGGATAAGCCGTTGTTTCAGGTAAATCGAAACTTAGAAAATTAGACAAGGAATCTAAAGAAAGGATGTTTAGTCTTGTCTTTCATCAGCCGCGCCGTGTTTCAGCCAACATTGTGCTCAGCATTTGAAAATAGGATGTAGATTTGTGGAGAAAATCACAGCGTTTATTTCCTCTGGAACATTTCTTTTTCCAAAAAAAAAAAAAAGCTTTTTGTATAGCCCCCCATTTCGCCGCACCAAACCACAGGTCCGAAAAGAACACAACCATTTGCAACGGCATTGCCTGAAGACAAAAGGAAATCAAAAAAACTCCCACCCTCTCCAGTGTGAAGTAATTATGGATATTTCATAATGGTAGGCTGCAATTGTCGCTTGCGTGATTATGTGGCACTTTCAAGCTCGTTATGTAAGGAGTACTTCGCAGCAATCAATGTCTGTTTGTGACTATTCATCGAAGCTCCAGCAAAGCTCTTCTATGGAATAGTTCCAGGACCAGGCCGTGCTACTGCACCATTTTATGGGAAATTCATTTAAAAAAATGCACAATGGATAGACAATTTTAAAGCATAATATATGTTTTTATATGCTATCCTGCTGCCTCATGCCAACACACTCCTCCCACCAGTGCTGATATACAGCCATATCGCACTTATACTCGTTTGATATTCATCATATATATTAATATATATATAAATATATTTACAACTTAATGAATTACATTGCATAATGTAGTCTCATTAGTAACTATTATGAACTAATAGTAATTAACACAGATTACTTTACCCTTTACTACAGTAAACTGTGTGCATATATATATATATATTCATTCATTTATTCATGTTTCCCAGAGATGGGTTGCGGCTAGAAGGGCATCCACTGCGTAAAAACTTGCTGGATAAGTTGGCGGTTCATTCCGCGGTGGCGACCCCGGATTAATAAAGGGACTAAGCCGACAAGAAAATGAATGAATGAATGAATATATGGAATACATGATTCAACCGTGTCATTATGGGCAACAAAATATTTAAACCCATCAATGAATCTTCAACCTGTGAGCTCGCTTTTTAGTACATCTATGAAAATCATGAAAATATTCAGTTCAATGCTTTTACATGTCTTTTGTTCTCTGATGGAAGTTGAACACCTGCACTGTTGCTGTAATATAGGATCACCTTTAATTTAGCGCTTCAGTGAGCAAGCCTGAAATAGGATTGGGAATCGTGTATGTAAAACGCATAGCATGTCAGACATTTTTAATTAAACATTACCTGTTACTTTGAAAATATAGTTCATCTTTTACAAACTTCTGAAGAGCATAAGAAATTCTGGATTAAAGCTCCGCTAGTATTGATAGATGAAACATAATTTAACAATGTTGATGAGCCCTAATATTAAAGCAGAAATAATCAGTTTTATACAAATATTCAACCCAGGCTAATTCTAAATGCATACCCTACATTTCTGGAGAGCACCACATACATGCCAGGAAGGTATTTTTTTTTTATTTTTGTTCTCGTGTAAATCCACCAGAGGCCGCTGTTTAGTTTCTTACTCTTACTTGAGTAACTTTTAAAATTGTTTACTTTTACTTGAGTAAAAATTTCTGCAAGTACTTGAATTGAGCGAAGCAGTGGCGCAGTAGGTAGTGCTGTCGCCTCACAGCAAGAAGGTCGCTGGTTCGATCCTTGGCTCATTTATCGTTTCTGTGTGGAGTTTGCATGTTCTCTCTGCGTTCGCGTGGGTTACCTCCGGGTGCTATGGTTTCCCTCACAGTCCAAAGACATGCTGTACAAGTGAATTGGGTAGGCTAAATTGTCAGTAGTGTATGAGAGTGTGTGAATGAGTGTTTGTGGATGTTTCCCATAGATGGGTTGCGGCTGGAATGAATAGATTGTGGATACTCTAACCACCTCTGCTAGCTACATAAATCGCGATCCCCAGAAATGTAAATAGGGGTGCGTTTTCAGAATGAGTCTATGTTTTTTTAATACAGGGGTTCTCAACTTGTTTGGCCATGGGACCCACATTTTTACATGGTCATCAAGCCACGACCCAAATGTTTAGGAACTGATACAATTTTAGTAATTATACTTTATTTGTATTTATTTGTTAGCATAAACAAGTAGTTACGGATACATCATAATAAATTCACCAAGACTTACAAATAAACTATTTTATTGCTGTCATTTAACAAAATGGATCAAATTATAGAATATTACAAAGTAAAAATGACAAAAACTGTTAATAATAAACTGTTAATAAAACACGTTTTCTGGTTTCTAAATGTTTTAATTTAGAAGGTTTCATCCTCTCGTATGAGAGCACCTCACTACATATGACACTGAGGCTTTAAGTCTTTTTTGTCGTCAATATATATTTCCATACTTTACATATTCTGGGTCGTACTTGCGCTTGATATATTTGTTGCAATAATTAAATGAAATTTCACATGTCAAACGGTAGGGTTGTTGCGCATGCATTTCAAAATAAAAGTCCGGTATAAGCAAAATAAGGAAAAAATTTTAACTTTTGTTGTTGTTTTTTTAACACACACTCCGCGACCCACTGAAGATGTTCCCGCGACCCAAGTTGAGAAACACTGGTGTGAACAAGAGGTGTACTTTGATAGTCGTTGGCTGCTAATGTAAATTCACCATTTAGGATTGCCAGGAAAATTATATGTTTTTAGGAGAAAGTCAGAATGTGAGAATATAAAACCAACTTTACCCCAATATATCTTCTCAAAAAGAGGAATGCCATCCTCTGAATTGCAGCATGTGCATATATAAGCCTACAATCTATCCATTAACATGTGTTTAGGTCAGGGGTCGGCAACCCAAAATGTTAAAAGAGCCATATTGGACCAAAAAAACCAAAAAAACAAATATGTCTGGAGCCACAAAAAATGTAAAGCCTTATATAAGCCTTATAATGAAGGAAACACATGCTGTATGTATCTATAGAGCCTAATCTCACTCTCAACTCGTCATATACTGACGCTTGGTCAGGAACCCTCGGCGTAAGTTATTGACGCACAGGGTACCCCTTTAGCGTCACATTTAGACGTGCAGGGATTCCCTATAGAATCTGTACCTGAGCCTGAAGCGTCATAGGGAGACGCTGGAGGCTCGTATAATTACCAATAGATGTCAACGCACTTTTTAAAACCTGATTTACGCCAATTATCGCAGTTTTCTTCTTTTAAAAATATGTAATTTTTATTTTGTTCATGAAAAGCGTCTGTAAACTGGGTCGAAACTACTGTATGAATAAACTTCGGTCCACGTGACATCCCTTCACGGTGAGTTTAACGCCGCTCTGCTATTGGTCAAACTGCATCAACGGTGAGTTCTCAGATGAGTTCAACTGTCAACATTAAATATTACGTTAATGCTGCATAATCTATTTTTATTGGAGATTAGTTGGTGTTTATAAATATGTTATCATTTACTTTATATTTAATGAGTGAAAATATATTCGGTTGTCCAGTTTAGGTTAACTATAAAACTATACTACTAATAAAACTTTGATTCATTCATATTATTTATTATTTTTTTACTTTAAAAAATATTACATTTCAAGTACTAAGTTTAAAAATGTTTTCGGCTGATCTTTTTTCATTTTTAAATTATTCATTGAAGTTGGGGTCATTGTATGTGGCGATCTATTTTTTACAGTCTATGCTCGCTATCCCAAGGTTCATTGCGATCCCAAGGTTCACTGCGGTTTTCCACAAGGTAAGTAAAAAGTAAACAAATAAAGACGATTTGTTGATAAAGCATGTACTGTAAACTAGCGACGTTATCTAATTACATCAAGTTCATTTATTAAAAACATATTTTTCTCACATATAACGTTGGTCATGCATTAGAACAATATATACATTTTAAGATGAGGAACAGTGCTAACACATTGTTGTTTTCCACAATAGAATTCGTGCAAAATCTATATATAATATGCAATATGCAACTCTAATAATACAAATGTATTCGTAATTGTTTCAATATTAAAGAACATCAAATGTTTCCAAAGGTTTAAAGGCTACATTGTAAAAACAATTATTTTCTTAAAACACACACACACACACACACACACACACACACACACACACACATATATATATATATATATATATATATATATAAACATAACAAAAGCTCAAGTATAACTTAAGCTGATGTATGTCACAATGAATATCTTACACTATTACAAGTATAATTTGGCCTTTACCAATTTATTTAATAAAAGAAATAATCTATCATCTCTAAATTGTGGTAAAGAGGCACAACAAGCTGTCTTCTTTGTCAAATATTATGTCAGTCAGGATGGCAATGGTAAAACTCAAGGATTACCTTGCACCTTCTCAGAAATTTACCATTGATCATATGTATTACAAGTGGCTGGATTGTTTTTAACACAAGCAACGTTTTTTAAATCATTATCTTAAAGAGATTAAGGCTCATTTTGGACTACACTTACATTACTTTACAACTGCTTAATGCAGTACTGATGTATCTAGTAGTTTAGTGGGTTTAACAAATGTCACATCTGTTTTTATTCATTTTAGATGCAGAAACATTTGACATATGAATTCATCTTGACTAAGGGTAAGGTTTTTGTTCAGAATTAATCATTATTTAAAATCATTGTATTTTCTTTGTTATTATGTACAGCTTTTAAAAGAATGTACTTTCTTTTAATAAAAAACTCTTCACAGCACTTCATCTGAACAGTCACAACCTCACAGAGCTGCACAACTGCCCCACTCAAGATCAGTGTTGAAGCTGGAACCTCATCTTGTGTACAGCAAAGGCAGAGCTGAAAATTCACTGTCTGTCTTGTATTGTGTGGTAAGTCATAGTTTTATTTTTTAGTTTTTTATTGCAACACTAAGTAGTCCATTATGTGGCCAATATGATATAAAAGGCCTAAAATGGGACTGACGTGATCATTGTTTTGATTTCTAGATAAGTACTTATGGGGCTACACATGCAGCTGAAGTTAGCTTCATTGAGTAGGACATTTCTTTCAGTATACTCTTAAAGAGATTCACCCAAAAATGAAAATTCTGTCATTAATGACTCATACTTCACTTGTTCCAAATATGTCTGAGTTGCTTTCTTCAGTTAAACACAAAAAATTATATTTTAAAGAAAGATGAAAACCTGCAAACATTAACTTCCATGGTATTTGTTTTTTCCTACTATGCATGTCAATGTTTTCAGCTTTTCAGCTTTCTTCAAAAACTTCCTTCATGTTCAACACAAAGTAACTTGGAAGTTTTTAAAAAAAGGTTTACAACCACTTGAGGGAGAGTAAATAGTGATTCCTTTAACCCAATCTAGTTGACTTTACTAGAAAATTGTATAGAAACCCAGTGGCTTAAACCCCTTACATTTTATACAGGGTACAACTTAACAGCCATACTTGAATTAAAATATTACTGTAAGTCCAAGAAGATTGTAAAGGTTCTAGGTTAATTTAAAGAGGGCTGTTTAGTTTCACCTTGTGTAAAAACATAAAGGGTTTAAGGCAACATTTTCCATGCAGTTTTTTTTATAAAGTCAACTAGTTTGAGTTAAGAGTGTAATGGGCTTCAGTAAAAGCAGTGAATCATGCAGGCATGAAATTAATGTTTAGCCATGTAAAGCAATAAGCTTGTTATAATTTAGAAATATTTTCAGGGTGGAGCACTGTATGCTGTAGTAGTTTTCATATAATTGATGAGTCAAACATGAGATGTGTTTTCAATTGCAAGAAGTGAATTAACAATATGTTCATCAAGATTCAAATCTTGCATCTTATATTTTTTAAGGTTTTGGCCCAATAATACCCATATTCTGCTATTTTAAAAAAAACTTGCTGGAATTTGTGTCAGCATTCCCTTCAATGAAAACTACAGCAGTGGACATCAATGGTGATAAAAATGTATGAGAAGGATAATGGTGTTCATAATGAGAAGTGCAGTCACTATCCTGATCTCTGAGTTTGTAGAACTGACAGATCTGCTTGGAATACATGGAAACATGCTGGAAATGTTTAACTTATTATACAGTTAATTCAAGAGTGCCAGGTTTAATGACACTTTACATATATAAATAAATATCACTGAACTTTCTAAATGAAACCTAACACTCATTCTTTGTTCAGTAATGATATTGTGCACTTCTAATACTTTACAGTGGCAAAACCTGGAATAACACATGGGAGCCCTCCAGGAATTCCTGACACTTTACGCCTAAGTCTCCTCATGCTAACCGGATTGCAATATGACAGTCTAGTCAGCATAAACACCTGGACTCACCAAGCACACTTTGGTTCTCAGTGTTTTGTACAAATTGTTTTTGCTATTCTTCAGTAAATACTTGAATATGTTTTGAACTTATTCTACTTTTGATGTTTAAGTTCAGAAAGTTGTTATTATAAACATAATTTGCATTTGTCATTAACTTGACTTGTTGTTGTTGTGAAAGCTGTTTATTATAATGGCATTTCCAAAGGCATTATTTGAAAAAGATTTTTTGCAGTGCAGTTTTACTTGAGCTTGACATACCAGATGTATGACATGAATAAATATCACAAAATAAATATAATAATGATAATACAAAATATAAATTTCCTTCAATTATAATTGTTTTTAATCATTTATATATGTATGGTAATATATTATTGCATTAAAAACTGTTATAAATATATATATTTTTGGTTTTTGCATGTTTGCGTGATTTTTGTTTTTTGTGGCATTATAAATAAATTATAAATGTTTCATTAAAAATGTATTGTGTTTATTTGCATACTCATTTACAATGAACTACTATTTTTACTATTTAATGGGCACTATATTTGTCATTTAAGTTTGACATATATTTATATTTGTATACCTACAGGACGCAGTGTTTAGTTACAGGAAATGCTGGAAATGTTTTCAAACATGATGCTTTTTTTATTTTATTATTCGTTTCAAATTTAGTATACTGCCTATGATCTGGTTTTACTATGATCATTTTGCACATCAGGTTACCCCCACAAAGGAATCTCACGATAAATATACATTTATATTTTTAATAAGACACTAAATAACATGTAATATTAATACACATTTTGATATTTAAGTTATATTATAACTTAAAGGTTATTATAATCTACCTTCAACCGGAAGATTACCAAATAGAGACAAAGTGTGACGTAGATTGCGACATTGTGATTGGACTATAACTTCTAAGCCAAATTAAAAGATCCTTCGTGTTGCTAACTATGTTTTGCTAACTTTGCCACTTTACTAACAGTGTCCTTTATCAATGAGTTATCGCTGTGTTTCAAATAGTTACCGATTAACCAAGATCGTAACCCTAAACTTAACCCTAACTACAGCTTTCAATGAACTACAATTTGTAGCGCCATGTCTTTCCCGTCCCATCTATACAGCGACAAAGGATTGTGGGTAATGTAGTTTAAAGCCTTTTTGAAATAAAATGGAACAAATACTATTTTTAATGAACTAAAGACTATCTGAATAAGGTCATTGTGCATATATTTATGAAATATATGAATGCCAGACATAAATTTGTTATTTTACAATGAGTATTTTTTTAAAACAGCTTTTATTGACTTGATCAGTATATATCAGACTATTATATCCAACATTATTTATTGAACATAGCATAGATAATAGTCTTGCTGATATTCTCTCACTCATTTCTCGTTTGAAATGTGAATACTTTTTCCTTTTCTACGGGGCTCTACTCATACCCTTTGAGTAAAAGGGCAGTTAACATATGTAGATGTATTATCTTCAACATGGACAAGAAATTGTATTGTCACATGAACAGTTGTGGTAAAAAAAAGCTGTAAAAATAAGCTAAACATTAGTATCCTCTTTAATCACAAGTTATTAGCAATAGTGATCTATGTTCATCACAAATATTATAAGTTCAGTTTAATATGTGTGGATGTAATTCTGTAATTGTGTTTCATTAATGGTCATCATGTGATGTTTAATTGTTTTCACTTTATTTGAAATATGGATAAAAGCTCTTAAAATATGTAAATGTTTATAAATATAACTTTTTTTAAAGACATGTATTTGTTTGAAAACCACTCTTTATCTGATTATTTTTACTTTCTAAATCTTCAACAGTTTGTGTAACAGTATGTTTTGATGACAATGGATGAACTTTGTGTTAAATAATGATTCCACATCATGTCTTTGTCCTGCATGTGGGTTAATTTGTTAATTATTTTCTTTATGATCAAATGATTTTAAGATTTGCTGCATTGTAAGAATCATGAAAATAGTGAGAAATGAGGTAACAATGACGATAAGATATCCTTTCAAATGCTGTGAATAGTTCAAAATGATTAAAAATACATAGCCATGAACCAACAAAATAAATATGCAAACCTTTAAATTATCTAAACTAGAAGTAAAAAAAGTTCTGTGCTGTACTTATAAGTTACTGTGAAGTTCTATGTCTACAAAAAATACATATTTTATTTTACTTTTTGGCTTAGTCCCTTTATTAACCAGGGGTCGCCACAGCTCTATGAACCGCCAACTTTTCCAGCATGTTTTTATGCAGCAGATGCTCATCCAGCCGCAATCCATCTCTTGGAAAATATTTTATTTTTTTATTTTTTATCTTGCATTCAATAAAACATTATACAAAGTTATTTTTTATTTTCAGCATAACAACAGTGGCACTGTTATCTCACAAGTACAGTAGTTTTTTGTTAGACATTCTAACAAATGAATACAAATGTTTCAAAGTAAAGACAAAAATAATAGGAGATTAAATTTTTTTTTTTTTTAGAAAAATCCATGAGGACCAAATAGATCCATCAGATCTTTGATGTAAATCATAGGTTAATTTGTTCAGAGGTAGAAGTCTGGTTGCCTGACTCAGCCACATATTGACTGGAGGTATCTGAGCAGTGGACCATAATAATGTAAATTTTTTGGCCAAGTATATGCAAAAATTAAATTTATCATAAAAATGTATCATAAAATTAATATTTTAAAAGCTCTTAATGTCATTTAATGTAATAATTTTATTTTAATATAGAGTTCCTTAAATCGTTATATGTTGTAAGCAGTTAGGCATACAATAATGCTCTTAATTTACAACACTGATTGATTTTAGAGGAATGCTTACATACTGTACATATCTATGTATTTAAAAAAAAAAGAGAGAACAATTTGGTTATAGATGATGAAAATTTTATTTTATTTTTTTTTTACAGATTTTATTACATGCTTTAGATTCAGGGTTAAGGTCATCCTCTTCTGGATTACAGTAAAAGAAAATCCACAGTCAATGTCAAACTCATCAGCTGGAGCTTTTTTAAAAAAATGTATGTTCTCTGCTCCAGCCAAAACTTGCAGGTACCTTGCAGGTCTCTAGATTGCACCATCGTATTGTTGTTTATTTCTCAGTTATTTTGTTGCTTTCTGAGAATGATGATCCAAAGACCTTTTAACCCCTCTTCGTTTAGGCCACATGTCGAATCTTAAAAGAAGAACACAACAACATAAAAATATATTAATATCCTTTGAACTGGGTAACCTTATGCTTATGTCTGTGCCAAATAATACAAATACATACTTTTCAGTAGCAAACAAGCAGGAAAGTTCTTTGAAGGAACCAGGATGAGTTGAAAGGTATTTATAGTGGTTGGCCATCTCTGCCACAAGAATCCTCTGCTTCTCCTGAAGAATCCTGACTAGCAGGATGATGTTGAACACCCTTCTCTTTGTTGTTAGACCGACAGTGTCTGAAATGTATTCATTAGAAGAAAGTTGTATCACATGGATTATACATCAACTTTTAAAGAATCAAAACTGACAGAAGTCTAGTGTACATACCATGCCATAAGACGAAGACATCCATATCACTTCTGTTTTTTGTTGTCTTTGCTTCTGCTACTGAAAAAATGACAATAATAGTAACACTTACAATTTTTCATGACTACATGTAATATTAATAAGAATTTCCTCACCCTCTGCCCACTCCTCTACGTCACAGACCAAAGTCTTCCAACTGGTTTCCGGTCACTGCCAGTTTCATGGATTCTGTTTTCCAACTTGCTTTGCAGAGCTGTTGCAGTCTACAATAATAAGCAATCAAAAATCACAATACTATTCAAATAGGTTACTGAACATCTAAAACAAATTCTACTGGATATCGTTACCTTCTGATATCAATAGGTCAGCAAGATGACCAAATTGTTGAATATCTGCTAATTCCAGCACATGACCATGAGAGTTACAGTAGCATGTCTGGTCACTGCAATCCTATAGAAGAAATATTGCACTGTTCAACCTCCTTCCCAAAAGTAAAACCAGGCATATCCTGGTATGCCTCACTCCATTTCACCTGGTTAACATATACAAACAAACAAACAAACAAACAAACAAATAAATAAATAAGTAAACCAATAAGTTTTGGCATTTACCTGTAGATCAGTTTAAGATAATCATATAGCTCATCTATCTCAGATATAAACTCATGTGATTAGGCATGAAACACACTAAAATCATGGGCTTAAAGATGGTGCTGAAACTTTGGACAGCTTTTTGCAACTCTTTGGAGGTAGTGTCATTAGTTGATGTAGTCCACAAATCTTCCTGTCAATTCTTAATCCTTAGCTGTAAATAAACCTTCAAAAATGCCAGTGTTTGAAAAAGGAATGAAACAGTACAGAACAAGTGCATAACAGTTTCTATCTTCTAATCTAATTTTCTTAGGTGAACATCACAGAGCTGTTTTCTTGTTAATTTAGTTTCAACACATACAGTTTAAAGTACCTCGTGCATTCTTGAAATGGTTATGCTTATGGTTCATATCTACTTAAATTGGCAGTATATCTAGTGTGGAAGCAGAACAGATGAAGGGCTCTTCCTTGCAAATACTATCCACCTTGTATTGCACAGACTCCCACTCAAGAATATCTCAGAAAAATGTCTGCTGAGATCTTAGCAGTCCATTAAAAATAATTATACCAACATCTTTTCCACCAATGGAAAGAATATAAAAATACTTTAGGATATATTAATACTTGCATGACCAAATCTGAGATAAAAAGGCCATCAGTATGCCTTAGTTTAAATAAAACCAAAATTTTACTCTAGCCCACTGTCACCTAGGTCTACAGATACAGGGACTAATGGAAACAATGAAGTACACACTGACAGTCACTGGAGCAAGGCCCTCTCACAGTTGGGAAGATTGGAGTTCCTATGAGCTGTACCAGATAAAAACAACAAAAAAATGTACATTTATAACATTTCTAACTTATCCTAAGACTAGTAGACAAGCAGCATAAGCAGTTCTAATTTCCTAAA